TTAGGTAACTGCATTAAGCATTCTGAAGGCTTGGTTTCTTTATGTTAGAAAACAGTTTCACTGCATGGAGGTCTGTGCTGTTTAGGCTAATATGTATACAATAGCAATGCAGGGGAAAATGCAAAAATAAGGTAAGCAATTTTCTTGTCTGTGCAAACAGATGAGATGTGAAATTCTTCAATCATAAAGGCTTGCTGGTTTTGAGCTCACATATTGCCAAGCCCATAGAGTGCCGTCTGACTTCATGGGAAATGCATCTTAGAGCCCTTTAAAGACAAGAAAATAAACTCCTCTGCAAAATAGAGGTTATGTGTTTGTGATTACGAAGATTTAAGGAAAGGAAAAAGTTTGGTAAACCAAAATGTGAAGTATTGACAAAACCGCTGAAATATGAAATAAGCAAAGAGAAATGAAATGCAGTGAAAATGTTTGTCAGGACTGTTCCTACTGTCTATTCTATTTTTCTTTCTATTTACAGCAATGTGCAATGACTTAGACTATTCCAAAAATTCAGGCTTTTAAATCTGTGTTACATCCATTTATTGAAATTAGTGACTGTTTCTGTAGCTGCTTTCTCCTTCCCTTCCAATGGGTCTTAGTGGGATATCTAATATCTCAGTCCCTCCAATGGGGCAGGGAGCAGAGGTACGCTGTGAAGCATGTATGCCATTGCCTGCACGGGGCCTACACTCTTCCTGAATAACGCCAGGAAGTGTACATTGCGTCTAGTGTTCTCTGGCCTGTACCTTTCCTAAGCTCTTATTAAAACACAGAAACAAGAACAAAAACACCCAAACCACAGTGAATGGCATAGCAGTAATCTTGGGTAAGTAATTACATATTCTTGGGCTAAAAAAAGTTTCCTTTGTTACTCCCTGGCTTGAAATTGTAATGTAGTGTATCTTACTGATGATTTGTAAACTCTTATCCTGATATGTAAACCTATAATCATTTCACAGTTTGGTTGGTTTGCCTCCCTCAGGCTGTGCCGCACTGTTTGTTTTACCAAAGTATTTGTGGCTGCTTTCTCACCTGGTCACACATTGTTCTGTCTTTGAGCCTGGCTTGCTGGGCAGGTGCTGGCAGGCTGCGCTGCAGAGCGTGCTGTCGTCTTCTTGCACTCAGGACCTTCCTCTTTCCAAAAAAAATCTTACAGAGAAAACAGAAAAGGCATGGCAGTTTTGGAAAATGGTGGATAACTTAACTTGCTTTGGCTTCCTAAAGGGAAGAAAATCCAGTTGCACTGATCTGGTGTGTTATGGTGGTGGTGATAGGGATAGGTTTTTTCAGAAGAACATATGGGTGATACATTTTTTATTGAATTAAATTGTCTGATTGTAGGAGCTTGTAGAAGAGCCAGAATAACAGACGACTGTGTTCATCATCCTGCTAGCAGTTCCATTTTATCCAATTGTCCAGTCAATGTGAGTTTAGGGGTACCTTGAATGCCTGGGGAGTTTAAAAAGCCGAGTCCCAGATTGCAGGATTGCACTGGGCAGTAGTGATCTGTCGGTGGGTTGCCTTCAGTCTCTCTTCTGCTCAGTTACAGGACTGTGAAGGTATTCATAGAAACAGTGGCTTAGAGAAGTTACTTTGAAGTCCAGGGGTGGGAGCATGGATGTGAGAAATAAAAGTTTGATTCTGGCACTTGCTCAGTGTCTGAAAGACTGCAGCTGAAATATGGTTTTCCCAGGCTTCCTCATGATAAGTCTTTTGAAGCATAACACTTCTGAAAGGATTTACTGGTTAATTTACATAGAAACTCCATTTCAAAGTCTACAATTAAACAGAATTTACAATAATTTTATGGACTTAGTGGTAGGTGGTGCAGCATTTACACATTAATTTTGCAAGATTATTTGTATCTTTCATGTGGTAGTTGTTTTGGACTTCAAGGCTAGCACTTAGGTTAGTTTATGGTTGTGTTATGCAATGAAAATGGGAAGTACTACCAAACTGTCAACTATTTTTATTTCTCAGTAATACTATTATTTCTACCACCACTTCTAAGTGATACTGGTTTTTATTCTATGCCCTGTAGTGAAAGTTTCATTTCCCTTATCAATTTCGTCTTCCTGATCTTTTCCTGTGTATTCGAAGATACCAGCTTGTCTTTTTTTTTTATGAAAAAGCAGTATGATGATATCATCACCATCTAAAGTGACCTGTCAGACTACTCAATACTTGACTATGTTGGCTGTTACCTCGTAGAGGTTTTACGTATGTCTGTAGAGGGGATGCTTTCTGGCTTTCATCCTCTGATCTTTTCTGAATGTCAGTGACGGAAGGTCTGCACCCTATAACATTAATCATTTCTGGCATATATTTAGCAAATATCATTATTTCAGATCTCATGCTATTCTGGTTTTGACCTCATCTTATCTGACAGCTCTGGAAAAGATGCCTGCTTCCTAAGTAAAACATTGCAAGAAGGGTGGTTTCAGCAATCCTGTTTGACTCAAAGCATTGTGCCCCACTGTGAGTAACCACCCTGGCCCATAAACAACTGACAAGAACATTGTCAACACTTGCTTGAGAAGTTGCTCACAAGTGAACTGTGTTTCACCCACGCATTAGAAGGGGCAAGCCAAACTGGAATACTGCTTCACTGTCTTCGTCAAAGGAGGATGTTATTGCACATTGGGTTTCCAAGGGCCTTCATTTGTAATTTTTGAGTATGTGGGAAATCCGTTTTTATAGACATATAAATGAATGTCGTCTTTGGTCAAGGCAAGGGAGTGAGTGGGTATGAGTGTGCCTGAGGGGGTGTGAATGAAAAACAAGAGAGCATACTTCTCATCCAGACCTCTGCTTGCCTTTTTGCAGATGACTTTCTGCAGACTTTCATTTCATTACTGAGGGTAGGATGAGTCTCTCTGTCACGCAGTGCAGATTTGACTTCTTCATCTTCGTTGAAACAGTGTGACAGGGATTGTTAAGGACATGTTGCTGTATGCTTTCAGGCCTGAGCTTCACCAGCTCCACAGTCAGTAGTACTATAACTTGAGGAAGAAAAAAAATATGTGTCCCATAGCTTCTCTAATAGATGGCAAGGACATTGTGAAATTGTGTCAGAAAAGTTATTTAGATTTTCTCGGGAAAGGAACAATTAAAATGATTAAAAATATTGAAAATTTTGAAGGAGCAGCTTGACAAATTTTTGGAATGTCTGCCTGAAATTTCATGCAAAATCACACATTTCATTCATATGAACTTTGCAAAGAAAAGAAAACTTGGAATGTCACAAAGTTTTTGGATAAAGGATAATTTTCGTTTCAACCTACTTGGGTTTTAAGAAAATCAAAGAAAATCAAATTTTAAGAAAATCAAAGTTATCCCATTGTTTTACAGTTTATAAAAATCTAACCATTTTTCTTTTTAGAAATTGTTTGAGTTGCTCCAAATTTTCGATCTTTCTATCAGGAAAAGGGTTGAATTTAACTGTGTGATTTCCCACAGCAATATTTACTGTTGCTATTATTAGCTTCATATCCTGTGCGATATGGTGATGAATGCATTAGAAGTGGATTGAATTAGATTAGAATAAGGCAGCATCATTGTAGCCTTGTCTTCCTATTAATAAAGAGAAAAATTAATCTCTCATTCACACTAGATATCAGAATATGGGGGATTTTGTGTTAGTTATTGTGCATGAGCTAAGGGAAGGAAGTGTTGGTCTGTTTACTGCATATCTCAAGGAAACTGCACAATTTAAAATCACATAATGTCATATGGCTTGCTAAAACAACCATGTACAGTTCAAGGGAAAAGAGAATTTAGAAATTAATTAAAGAACCAAAACCTCCTCTTTTGGGTAAATATTGTGTGTAACACCAGTGCATTTTGATACTTATTGTCTCATGCCATAACATATTGACTCTGGAACAATTCACAGTTAGAAAACAATCAAACATTTCTCTTTGAAAGCATATTTTCTTCAACATTTATGGTCTGTGAGGAACATTTTCATCAGAATTCTTGCTTCTTGATGATATCATTGATTTATTACAATGAATCTAGTCAGTTGACCACAGAAGTTAATGAAACAAGGGAAATGCAAATTCCTATTCTGAGTATGTCTTCGTTTTACATAAGTACTTGGGGAAAAGGATTAAAGCTTAATTATGAATCCCTTTCTTGCTTTTTTCCTCTTTTCCTAAAGTGTTTAATGATTGCTTTGACATAAATCTGCCAAATGCTTTTTCCTGACTCTAGAGACCATATTTTCAAAGGAAATTTTAACATGTGTTGCCCCAAAGACATTTTGAAGTTATTAGATGTATAAAATCCTCAGTCCAAGTATAAAAATGTGCATGAAAAATTAATAGTGGCAGGTGCAAAAGGTGCTAATGAGAACTTTTAGTACCTTTATCAGGTAGCCAAAATGTAGGTGACAATGAAAAGATCTTTGCAACCTCACAGGTTAGAATAGTTCAACACAGTGAAATGATGCTGTCTTCTATCTCTGTAGTTTAAGGAAAAACAGAACAATACTCTTGTTTCTTATTAGCTGTAGCTGGAGGAAGCAGAGGCTGGCGCTGTGTTTTTCTAGTGCCAGGATAGCAACAGGGACCAGCATTGATTCAAACTTGGAGGATTTGTGGCTGCATGTGTCTGACATTTAGTTCTTGAAGGCTCCAAGATAGCAGGCTGTTGAGATGTAGAGTTCAGGGCAGATCTGTCAGGGAGCGTTTTAAGAGTTAGATTTAGGGGACATTTTAATACTACTGTGGGTTCACATTCTCCTGGGATTTTAGTTCTTCTGTGACTGAATGTTTTCAAGGAAACACTATGTGATTATTACAAAGAGGTCAGATTAATCACAGCTGTAAGCTGAGTACTACCACGTACACATTTGTCTTGGAATGTGTCACAGGCAGCTTGGCTTTTAAAGACATCTTTCAAAGTGCCAAAGGGATTTTATGTAAGAGTATGAGGATGATTATCTATTTACCATCTTCACCTGTTCACTTGATTTTTGTTTGGTTTTTTCCCTGCTGCAGACTATGTCAGAGAGCCACAATGATCATGCAAAATAACAGTTCAGCCTCGCCCCTGTTTTCAAATGTGAGCTCCTTCTGGAAGAGAGATTCGCACGAACCAGGACTCCTTGATGAAAAAGCATCGCTCATTGGCAGCTATGATTTCCTTCGGACCACAGAGAGTTTTTCCTTCTCCACTGTGGAACCAACAAACATGTCCCTAAATACCACAAGCAAAGACCCTCTGGGTGGACACACTGTCTGGCAAGTTGTTTTGATTGCTTTCCTCACTGGGATCCTTGCACTGACAACCATCATAGGAAACATCCTAGTGATTGTTGCATTTAAGGTTAACAAACAACTGAAAACGGTCAACAACTACTTCTTATTGAGTCTTGCTTGTGCAGATTTGATCATCGGTGTTATTTCTATGAATCTTTACACCACATACATCATCATGGACCACTGGGCTTTGGGAAACTTGGCCTGTGATCTTTGGCTCTCCATTGACTATGTTGCCAGTAATGCCTCTGTCATGAATCTTCTTGTTATAAGTTTTGACAGGTATTTTTCCATCACTAGGCCACTTACATACAGAGCCAAACGAACAACCAAAAGGGCTGGGGTGATGATTGGTTTAGCATGGATCATCTCTTTTGTTCTTTGGGCCCCTGCCATCTTGTTCTGGCAGTATTTTGTTGGGGAGAGGACTGTGCCTCCTGATGAATGTTTCATCCAGTTTCTAAGTGAACCTATCATCACTTTTGGCACTGCCATAGCTGCCTTTTACTTGCCAGTCACTATTATGAGTATTTTGTATTGGAGGATCTACAAGGAGACCGAGAAACGCACCAAAGAGTTAGCAGGGCTACAGGCTTCAGGCAGCGAAGCAGAGGCAGCGCGCTTCGTACACCAGACAACTGCAGCAGCTACGAGCTACAACGGCAGAGCATGAAACGCTCCACCCGAAGGAAATACAAACGCTGCCACTTCTGGCTCACAATGAAGAGCTGGGAGCCCAACGCAGACCAGGGGGACCAAGAGCACAGCAGCAGTGACAGCTGGAACAACAATGATGCTGCTGCCTCCCTTGAAAATTCAGCCTCCTCTGACGAAGAAGACATTGCTGCAGAGACCAGAGCCATCTATTCAATCGTGCTGAAGCTTCCTGGTCACAGTGCCATCCTCAATTCCACAAAACTACCCTCCTCAGAAGATTTGCATGAGTCAGGGGATGAGCTGCAGAAATCCGACACAGAATCGAAGGAAAAGAAACCTAAAAAATTGCACCCTCCCAAAAGTGTTCAGGATGGTGGAAATTTCCAAAAGAGCTTTTCTAAGCTTCCAATTCAGCCAGAGTCAGCAGAGACAACTACAGCTTCTGATGTCATCTCATCCATGACCAAGACATCTGCAGCCCTGCCCTTGTCCTTCAAGGAAGCAACTTTGGCAAAAAAGTTTGCCTTGAAGACCAGAAGTCAGATCACAAAGCGAAAACGAATATCACTTATAAAAGAAAAGAAAGCGGCACAGACACTCAGTGCCATTTTGTTTGCCTTCATCATTACCTGGACCCCATATAACATCATGGTTCTGGTGAACACTTTTTGCAGCTGTATCCCCAAAACTTTCTGGAACCTGGGGTACTGGCTTTGCTACATCAATAGCACAGTGAACCCTGTGTGCTACGCACTGTGTAACAAAACATTCAGAAACACTTTCAAGATGTTACTGCTGTGCCAGTGCGACAAACGAAAACGACGCAAACAGCAGTATCAGCAGAGGCAGTCTGTCATTTTTCATAAGCGGATCCCAAGGGAGGCTTCATAGAATAGTATTTTTTAAACAATTAAAAAAAACAATGAAGTGGAGATGGGATGGGATGGGATGGGATGGGATGGGATGGGATGGGATGGGATGGGATGGGATGGGATGGGATGGGATAGGATGGGACGGAACGGGACAGGACAGGACAGGGCAGGACAGGATGGCATGGGACAGGATGGGATGGAATGGGATGGGACAGGATAAGAAGGGGTGGAACGGGATGCATTTGGGTGGGTGAGTGGTTCCAGGGTGCTGATTCAAACATTTAAACATCAAGACGTGAAAGCAGCTGCCAGGCTTATGTATCCTTTTAATAAATCCAGTTTAATATAAAAATCAAGTCTGCATTCAGCAAAAACTATCAAACTTCAATGTTTTTACTGAGGAATGAGGGACTTAATAAAGTTTTCCTACAAATTTGCAAGAAGCTGTATAGCAATTATAAACCCATTACTGATCTGCCCAGCTCTTTGATTATTATCAACTCTGGGATCTCAGGTAAGCACATCTAGCTAGCCCAACTCTTCTGTTTCCAAGGAATCCAACAACTTTCAATTTGAGTCACATACAGATGTAGCACGCTAGCGAAACAGGATTATGAAATTATTTGAGACACTGTATAGGTTGCAGAATTGCTTCTTGTTGTCCAGGTAGAGCTTCCTGTCTACTTCTCTTCTGATGTGTTGTTAAATGTACCCTTGATTCCTGATTGCCAAGTATCTATGTGTGCAGCTCATGTTATATGTATGTGTGTGTGAGTGTGTATGTATGGATAACATACATTCACACTTCTAAAATACACACATACCAGGAAAGAGGTGATCCATTGTTCTAGGTTTTTCAGGGCCCCGCATCACGATTATACGTGAATGAAATTAAAAAAATAAAAATCAGAAAATCATATAAATATATATCTTATTATTTGCCACCTGAAATTCAAGTTTGTCTTTGAAACCAAAACGTAGTGTCCTCGTTTCAAATGGAGAGAACCAAAGCATAGCCTGTGAGCCTAACAGTCTACAGAGTTTTATAGTGGGGCACATGCTCAGTAAAACCTTAATCTTGAGTACAGTATCTCTCCCCAAAGCGATCACACCTCTTTAAAAGACAGGAAGGTGAAAGGAATTGAAGGCAACATTCAGGTGGAGTGTGAAGTTATCCTTGTAGGGTGTAGGATGATGAGAGCCCACATCTGGGACGCACAGTGCTGGTGCTCAAAGGGAGTTGCTGAGGGCCCAGGCGGGTGCAGCGATTAGCAGGAGCCCCGATTCATGCTCGGACAGCTGTGCTGCTGTCGGGGCATGCACGGACTCTGCGACACCTTGTCCTGAGTTGCACCATGTGGCTCCACCACCCTTCTCAGAGCCGGCACAGATCCGATGCACAGTATCCGTATGGCTTCCAATTAAAGTTCCAGTTGTAATTTTCTGTCTAAACCTGGTGGAGCCCCCCAGATTGCACTGTCTGCCCAGATGATCTTCAGATGCAAAAGATTTGTGTAAAAGAAATGCTTTATTTTTGCACATGAAGGATGCTTACTAAAAAGTGTTTCTTTTCCAGAACCTGGTCTAAAAGTCATCAGGAGAAGCGCACCTAAATCCATTTAATGCCAGGTTATTTGGTGTTGTGAAAAATGTGATATTGCCGATTTGTAACCTGGCAATTTTTGATAAAGAAAATTTTTAAAGGGCTTTAATATTTATAGCTTAGACATGACCAGTGTTTCCTGGTATTTGTGATGTGGTCTGCACCAAACATGATTTATAAAAGTCAGAGATCCCCTGGGGAAAGGATTGTCCTTTAAACTATTGTTCTAAATCTGATTTAGTTACATGTTGAAAGATAATTTTGTATTCTCCTTTGAACTGACCAAAACTTTTTTTATTGCTTAGACTCTTATTTTGCTGAAAATAAAATAAAACAAATGTCTTCTTTTACAAAGGGGCATCAGTGTTGTGAACACAGAGCTGATGTTAAAGCTGCTTTTGTACTCAGTGTGAGATGGTGTTTACAGATGATTTTGACAACAGTGGAAATATATTAAATGATGTCTGTGTATCTGAACTATTTAATTTTGTGTTATGTTCATATGAAGAAATATTTATACATACTTCACCAAATGTTTTATTTAATGTTGATAAATATTGCTCTTCAGTCTTCAGCTGTAGTGTCCTTTTAAAATGATTCATAAAGGTCTGCTTGAGAAATGAATAGAGTTATACCTAGCTTTCTTGTCACTAAGAAAAATACTCTTGACATACAAATCTTTCTTTTGTATGAGTTGTTTAAAATGTCTACCTAAAGGCAATCTTGTAAATGACATTACGAGTCTACTACAAGTTCAAGTTTAGTATAAAACACGAAAAAAAATTAAAGCTTCATCTATTAAGTCACAAGTGCATTTTGAGCTAAAGATACCTTTGGTTTACCAGTTTGGTAGCCACATACAACCAAAGTCTTATAAGGCACCCATGTTGCAAAGAAAATTAATGACCTTTATTTATAGAAAGAAGCATATATTTGAAATACATTCATTACTCAAGTTGACCTGCCTAATGTTTTAACATTTGAATATATATCTATATCTATATATATTGCCATATTATTATCTTCTGATATCTAGAGTAGTGCTGTGCCCCTAATTCACAAAATGTGAGAGCATGTAAGGAAGCCAGAGTTCATCAGGGGGATTTACGGTATATTAGTATTGATTTTACAATGGGAAACTATTATTTTTAATGAAGTTAAGCTTCCTTGAAAGTGGCTGTCACCACTGTTTACGTAATAGGAAGAGTTAAACCCTTGGATTGTTTTAACAGAGAAATAAACAAACCTGGTTTTGATGTGTGAACAGGCTTTAAAATGTTATTTACAGGCATCATAAAATGTGTATGTATACACATACTGTAGCATAGATCAATTTAGTTATTATTTATTTAATGGAATATGCACTATAAAATATTAATAATTTGGCTGTGTTACAAGTACAGTGGGGATCAAATTAATTTGTATTTTATGTGTCTATGTGTTTGCTTTAAACCCATGCACACACGAAACCTTTAGCTATATGCACAAGTGGATATATTACTTATGAACACAGGCATACATGATAGGTTGCAGAAGAAGAACAATCCAAGACCAAAAGGTACAATCTGACACAGCACTACTTTTAAGAAGTACAAATGATGTAATATTTCATCTGTTTTGAGGAAAATTAAGTCAGAAATTTTATAGAGAGCATCATTCTGAGGGCAGACAAACAGCTCAGTCCCATTAACACTCCTCACATGGAAAGCTGGCTTTTCAAAGACAAGGCATCATCCCCGGTAATTGCAATAATACAAGCTCAGACTCCATATGAAGAGGATTGAAAAATCAGAAGCGATAGCCAGACAGGAGACATTGGGTTGTCTGGACGAAGCTTTGTTGAATAGCCCCCAATCACTGTCAGCCTCTGAACAGCTCTGAGACAACAAAATACATTATAATATATGCTTGGCTTCCTCGATGTAAAATTGTGATAGAGGTTTACTGCTTCTGTACCAGTATAGGCTGTGAGAAATATCTGATCCAAAGATCCAGGGACAGGTGTGATGGTGCATGAAGCAGTTTATCCTACCCCAGCAAAACACACTTCCTGCAAATGTAAGCTGCAGATCAATGTGGCGCTTTTCTAAAGCTAAACAAATACAGGAAAGGCCTGAGCAGTTTTCAGGACCTAAACCTGTGGATCTATGTACCCTGAATGATGAATGGCCAAACGGAATCCAGCAGTTTTGTGAGGATACCCACACAGATGTTCTGAGGCAGTTGGTGACTTTCCTCAGTTATGTGTAACTTCACTTTCTTATTTTGTTGTCTTATTATATTTCCTTACTTCTTCTGCAAGAATGTTCTAAAAAGTCTTGGCTCATTATCTACCTTGTATATGTAAGAAGTGAATACAAGTGCCAAAGTACACTCAGTTTGCCTCCACAGAATGCAAACATCAAAGCAAAAGGAAATTTTTATCTTTACTCCCTGATGAGCAGCATCAGTAATTTTGAATGTCTGGTTATCGTCATGCTACCATATATACAGTAGGGATAGTCATGCAGTATCATGCTAAGCTACTTATAAACTACATTTCACTTGCCCCTTTGACCATCTGCCTACTTATGCTTCCCTATTCAAATTTATATTTGAGATTCTAAACCCTCATTCTCCTCCAAATGGCTCCCAGATTCTTTTCATAAAATGTGCTTTACAACCTTATCTTGGTATCAGGCTTTTTCTTTCCATTCAAAATATTCATATGCAAAGTTAATCTGCTCTTAGACTATCAGAAGACCCATTACAAGCTCCAGCAGTTGTAGGGTTGAGGTCTGATGCTTTCTTATCAAAAAGAGTTGGAGCAGGATCCACATATTCCAGGTCCTTATTGGCAGAAATGGTCTCTACTGCAAGTTGGCTGTTCACCAAGCCTGACCTTCTTTGGGACATCTGGGGATGATCTGCCCCTAAGGACATTCTGCCAAGCCCCCACTAGCTTGAACTTCATCCAGTTCATGATTCATCACATTTTAATGCATTTGAAAATTTCTGAAAACATACATATTCATTGTGGTAACTGAATAGTCTGTGCCCCCTGTAAATCTATTGTCCCTTCTCACAACTTGCTTCCAGCTTCTGTGATTTTCTATTTTATATATTCATTTTATCTTTTCTGTATTTACCCATGCAAATACCAGTGCACTTGCTTCTGGGAGCAGCTCAAAGTGATATATATTTGTAGATTGCTTCTCGTTAACCCAAAGGGTATGTACAGGTGTCTGGTGGAGCTGAGGTGTTCATAACGATGGTTGGCTTTTCTGTCTCATGAACTAGACTCCCATGATACCCGAGCACTTCTATTTGAAAGTTTAGGTAAAGGATATATGACTTTCAGGTCTTCACAGAATTAAAAACCTTATTTAATTGGGATTTTTTCCTTGTATTTGGCATAGATAATTTGTAAGTTCTTC